CTGCTAAACCCGCAAAGTTAAGTTGCGGCCAGAGCGGCGACTATATATGGCCAAACGGGCCGCCCGGCATGGCACTGGCACGGGCACGGCCAGGCACGGCACTACGCGGCACGGCATGTTAGCCGTGCCGTGCCTGATAGTGCCGCCGTGCCGACTCAGCGGCCCAGGCACGGCACTATCATGGCTTAGACGTGCCGTGCCGTGCCACTGGGCACGGCAGCCCGTAGTGCTCGTGCCGGCACTGGCATTAAAAGTGCCAAACACCTCAGAAACTTCAGAATTTTAACAGAAACTTGTACAATATATCAAACTTTAGAAGATCACACTTTGACAGCAGAGATACAAGTTCAAACTTTAACAGAAACTTTAGAAGATCACAAACATAGAAACAGACCAGAGAGCAAAATAAAATTTTATTGGAGCTTTAGTGCAATGGCTGCCTCATTAAAAACCTGTCTAGGTAAAACTCACCCTTGTGAGAAACCCTAGACAGGGAAAATAGAGTATAGCCCAGCTCCTTTTAAGTTCATTGTCCTTAAATCAAAGTTCATAAGTCCAGCATATTACAGTCCAGTACATAAATGATAACTAAGACAACTAATCAAGATAAAGTTCTTCAAATGCTTCTTCAAGCTCCTGGTCTTCCACATTGTGCTGCATCCTTGCCTCTGTTGCCTCCCAGTCTTTGATGCAGGTGAGCATCTCCACCATCTCAGCCTTCAGCCTCCTCCGCCGCTCCTCGATTATCCTGCCAGTCATACTAAAAGTGAACTCTGAAGATATGGTAGAAACAGGAACAGTTAAAATATCTTTAGTCATGATTGACAGAACTGGATAAGTGAGTTTGTGCTCATGCCACCAGTTCAACAGGTTAAAATCATCATCTAACTGGCTAACAGTGTCACAGTCCAAGTAGAAAACCAGTTCAGAAGTATTATTATTAGAAGAACTTGCAGCATGCAACAGGGCAGTTGCAGAGGTATGTCTAGACAGATTAAGAGTACCAGATAGATGATGGATACCACCTACAGAACAATCACCTTCATCATCATCATAAATCTCATCCCAAGCAGATCTTTTCTTACCAGACAGGTTAGGAGGGACAGTCCTCCTCAACCTAACAGATCCAAATTTCTCCTCATACTTATTGTAAACATCAGTTAGTCGAGCTCTAGTGGCAAGCTGGTAAGTTTCATAGGATGTACTGGTAAGGCTACCCAACCTTCTCAGTACTCTGCTGAAACCTTTCATTTTAGCTCTAGGATCCAAGATGAATGCAAAAGAATATAGCAAAGGAATATCCCTCCAGTATTTATTATATTTGTCTATCATTGGTTGAATCACATGTCTGAGGTGAGTGTCATTACCATAGTTTTTTAGGTGTATAGCAATCTTAACTAGATAATGAATCATAAATGGAGATGTAGGATAGTACACACCAGACAAAAGCAGCAGTAGCATCATAAAACAGTTCAAGAAATTTAAACACTTTTTGTCCAACAACCCAATGTTCATCAGTTAAAAGCAACTGACCACCTTCACCCCTAGGATAGTGAGCATGCATGAAAGTAGTGAAAGGAGTCTGGTGAGGAAACAAATGCTTGAGCATCAGATATGTAGAATTCCACCTTACCTCCATGTCCAGCTGAAAATTCCTAGGTCTAACACCAGTGGCAATATAGTAACTTTTGTATGCAGCAATTCTCTGGTTAGATGAGTTCAGAAATGATATTGCAGTTCTAAATGTTTCAATCAAAGGCTGAAGAGCATTAAGGGCCTCCTTAACAATCAGATTTATGATATGACATGCACATCGCTGATGCATGAACAAAGTACTAACTGCATTATCAGTTTCATGCATCAGCGATGTGCATGTCATATCATTTCTATCATTATCAGGGGGTACTTCAATACCAAGATATTTAGACAGTACAGACCTAAGTGTACGCATGGCAGAAACATTAGATGAGGCATTGTCCAAAGTAACAGCAAAGACCTTTTCACTCAAACCATAATCAGCAAGCACAGATATGACCCTTTCAGCAATGTTTTATCCACTGTGGGACACATCAATAAGCACAAGACCAAGCACTCTCTTCTCTAGTTGCCAATCAGGATTTATGTAATGAGCAACCACACTAAGATAGTCCTCTTTGGCATTACCAGACCAAATGTCAGAGGTAAGACAAACACAATTTATAGCAGATGAACTAAGAGTCTCAACAAGCTTAGTCTTTTTATCAGTGAAGTATTTGACTATGTCTCTAGTGGTGGTTTGTCTAGAGACAGGAACAAACTTTAGATTATGAGCATTTCTAATGTAATCATAAAAAGCATCAGTTTCACCCATACAGATAGGCACATCAAGTCTAGAAAGCAATCGAACCAGTTCAGTGCGAGCAACAATAGGACAGTACTCCCAAGTACGCATACTACCATCAGGATTAAAAGATATCTGAGACTGAGTCATGCGAGTTTTCTCACGCCTCTTAACACATTTGTCCCTATGACGAGTGAGGTGACCAGTGCCACCACTAGAGAGAGCAGAGTACTGCTTATTGCAGTGGATGCAGCGAGCGGCATACCTGATCTTCTTACCTTTGGGACCTTTTTTGAACAACTTCTTGAAATCGAGCCACACAGCCGAGGTAGAAGGACGTGAGCGCTTGTCGTCGTTGTCATCCTCTCCTTCTTCTTCGCCCCCTGCTGCATCAGCTTCAATGGGATCCTCAACGCGACGGCCGAACAGCTCCGCAGCGTCCTCACGCAGGTCATCCTCGTCGTCATCTCCAGCTAGCCTGCACATCCGCCTCTCATCGTTGGCGCTGACCTCAACGGTCTCATCGGAGGAGCGGGCCATCGTTACTCGTCGGCGCCTGGTTCCTCAACGGCTTCACACATAAACAAAGAATCAGTAGCAGATCTAGTTAGGGTTAGGGTTAGGGTTAGGGTTAGGGTTTACAGTACCTTGGGGGCCGGAGCACCGGGAACGCCGGCGACGTCGACGACGCGGGATCCGGCCCTCTGGTTCCTCGACGGATGCGAATCAAGAGGGGACCTACAGTAGGGGAGCACATCAGATCGAGATCCAGGAGGGGATAAGAGAGGAAGAGCCAAATCTGGAGGGGAGCAAAGCTCAACTTACCGACATCCGGAGCACCAGAGTTGCCGGGGGCCCGGCGAGGTCGACGACGGTGACGAATGAGACGACGAGGTGGACGACAAGGCTACATCAACGGGGCGAGATCAAGACGAGGCCGTGTTGTGTGCCCGTGCCGGCCAGCAGTGGCTCTAGATGCCACCGGAGGGCGAGAAGAAGAGAGGAGACACCACCGGAGGCGGAGAGAGAGACGAAGAGAGGAGAGAGCCGCTCGCAGAGGTTAGAGCGAGAGACAGGAGAGAGAGGGAGCTGGAAACAAATGAGCTAGGGTTTCGTCGATACGGGGCGACGTGGGGGCGCTTGCTTATATAGTCGACCCATCCATCGGTCGGATCCAACGGTCATGAAGGATCTGGGGGAGGGGATCAACGACTCTCCTTTGCTGGATCCGTGCCAAGGCCGTGCCGGCCTGTTAGCCGTGACGTGCCTGGGCCGTGCTAGCGGGCCGTGGTGGCAGCCCAGGCACGGCACTGCTGCCAGGCCGTGCCAGGCACGGGCACGAAGCAGGTCGGGCCTGGGCCGTGCTTTTTAGTGCCGTGCCCGTGCCGGCCCACCGTGTTAGTGCCATTTGGAAAAGTATAGCGGCGACGTGCGGGCTGTCCGCAGCCCGCCCCGCTTGCATCCATAACGGTGGGGGAAGGGGCGCGCTGCGAGGCAGAGTGGGTTGGATGGATGCGAATTCCGTTGAAGAAGAGGCAGGAGGCGGTGTCGGTGGACATGGTCTCACTGTCTTTTTTCATCTTTTGCTATGTTCGCTTGGCTGATAAGTCACGACTAAAAACACTGTTAGCTGATTTGTTATGAGAGAAAAATAATATTCGTTCGCTGAAAAAATACGGCTTATAAGCCAAACGAACAGGAAAACAGGGCGTAAAGAAATGAGTGGACAACAATAAACTAGAGAATGAATAAACTAGAGAACGCGTGGTTGTGCGTGGAGTCCGCCAAACATTTTCGAGCGTCGAAGGCTCAGGGCAGACCATTATCGTTTCTCTTTTCAGCTTGGTTGACGAATTCGTGACTGGCTGACGGCAAAGCCATGCGCCACCGACTCGTGGGTCGTGGCAGAGTGCCAATTGCTGCCGGATCCAAAGTTCACATTGACCAATGGGCCTCCATCCTGGCCCTTTGTTTCAGCTGGAGCCAGCGAAGAGCACAAGTTCTATGCCGGCGCTCAATGGGCTGGAAAAATGGTCGGACGCCCATTTTCGCGTACGCCGTGTGGAGGCCTGGGCAGCCCACGTGGATTCCTCGGGTCACGACGCTCCCATTCCAGCAACCGGGCTGCGGCCTGTGGGCTGTGGCCGGGCGGCATCTCCCCCGTTTCCTTCCAAGCGGAGGAGCAGAGCAGCCTGACGGCAGCTGGGACGTTTGACTGCGCCACGCCCAGTTCTGTGGCTCCACGTGGCACTTGTTCTTTCTCACTCCATCTTTCCCTTGCCCCAAACGTCCAAACCAGGTCAGCCGAGCAAGTACTGGAGCTCAGTTATTTTACTCACATAAACCACGGGAGTGCTGGCACGATTCAACAAATGGTGCATCAAGATGTCCGCCGGCCTTGGACGGTTTTGTGAGATCTGCCAACAGCATAAAGCACAAGCAGGAGCGCTTCAATACTTCAATTTGCCCCTTTATTATGTCTTCACCACTCCACTCTTCGTTCGTTCCAAGGCACAACGACTCAAGTACCCCTCAAGCTAGCTAGCTAGATCAGTGCGCGTGACAAAAACGAGTGAGCGAGGGAGCGGGACACACGCCTTGTCGGAGAGAACAGAGGAGCTAGTCGTCCAGCAGGCGTCCCGTCCACGGCCGACGTCGTCCGTGTGCATCGTCCGGCGCCATGGGCTCGTCGTTGAGCTCCTGCTGCGGTTCTGAGAAGGTCGAGCAAGGGTACGTACGTTACGCGGTCCTCGGTCTCATGTGCGATTTGTTTCATCATCTGCTGCTTGCTTGGTGTGTACTCGAGGCGCGCGGCTCGTCGATCAGGCGGTTTACCTTATGCATCTTTCTGCTGGGTGTGTTTTAATCACCAGGTGCGTGAGCGCGTCGCCCATGAGCAGCACGTGGAGGATATTCAGCTACAAGGAGCTGCACGCCGCCACCAACGGCTTCAGCGAGGAGAACAAGCTCGGCGAGGGCGGCTTCGGCAGCGTCTACTGGGGCAAGACATCCGACGGCCTCCAGGTAACAACACCTATAGCGCACGAGAGCATGCTGTGACTGTGACGTTCCATCCTGTGCACATGACGACCCATGGTCCCATGCATGCAGATCGCCGTGAAGAAGCTCAAGGCGACCAACAACTCCAAGGCGGAGATGGAGTTCGCGGTGGAGGTGGAGGTGCTGGCCCGGGTGCGCCACCGGAACCTCCTGGGCCTGCGGGGCTACTGCGCGGGTGCCGAGCAGCGCATGATCGTCTACGACTACATGCCCAACCTGAGCCTGCTCTCCCACCTCCACGGCCAGTTCGCCGGCGAGGTGCAGCTGGACTGGAAGCGGCGCGTCGCCGTGGCCCTGGGATCCGCCGAAGGCCTCGTGTACCTGCACCACGAGGTGACGCCGCACATCATTCACCGGGACATCAAGGCCAGCAACGTGCTGCTGGACTCGGACTTCGCGCCGCTCGTCGCCGACTTCGGCTTCGCCAAGCTCGTGCCCGAGGGGGTCTCGCACATGACCACCCGCGTCAAGGGCACGCTTGGGTACCTGGCGCCCGAGTACGCCATGTGGGGGAAGGTCTCCGGCGCCTGCGACGTCTACAGCTTCGGCATCCTGCTGCTCGAGCTCGTCTCCGGGAGGAAGCCCATCGAGCGCCTGCCGTCCGGGGCGAAACGCACCATCACCGAGTGGGCCGAGCCGCTCATCGCCCGCGGCCGACTCGGGGACCTCGTCGACCCGCGCCTCCGGGGCGCGTTCGACGCCGCGCAGCTCGCGCGTGTCGTCGAGTGCGCCGCGCTCTGCGTGCAGGGCGAGCCCGACCGCCGCCCGGACATGCGCACCGTCGTCCGTATCCTGCGCGGTGAAAACGCCGCCGCCGCCACCGTGGGGCGTGCTGGCAAAGGGGACCAGAAGGTGCCGGTGAGGATCGAGAGCGTCAAGTACGCGGAACGCCTGATGGAGATGGACAAGAGCAGCTCGTACTACGACGAGCCTCAGGACGGGGACGACGAGGAGGAGGAAGGAGATGACATCGACGACGACGAGGTGGAGGAGTACTCGTTGATAGATGACAAAAGTAGCATGAACTTCGGGGCGTTTGGCGCCATGCCAGTGCAGCAGACCATGCACGACCCGTACGTCAAGAGAATCTCGGGAAATGCTAATGCTATCAAGATTTAATGTAGTTTTACGTGAACATTGTATTAATTTTGTTGGGTGTAAACTTGTCTTAATTAATTCGAGTTGGTGCTCTGTCGAATGTTTTTGTGATTTTAGGAACTTTCTTTCGATCTAAAGTTCAATTATGTTCTCCAGTAGTAGGAGTACATACTATGTAAGGAGCTAAATGTCCTTCCACATTAAGAAACAAAAGAACATCATGGTGACAGCAAAGGTGAGTTTATAGCTCTGTCCATTTCAAATTGTAGGTCGTTTTTGTTTTTCTAAGTACATAGCTTTTGCATTCTTAAAAAAAAAAGTACATAGCTTTTGCCACGTGGCTAGAATAACTTACAATTTGGAATAAAAGGAGTAGCTCTTTTGTACATGGTTGGAATGTAAGTGAGAGGGGATCTGGGTTCAAGTATTTGGCCCGAATGGACCGAACTTCAGCAAAGTTCATTCATCTCGGTATGGTCCGAGATAAAACTAAATTGCCCAAATATTTCGGCCCAATCTAAATTTTAGCCTGCTCTATGGTCCAACAAGTAGCCCACAAACACTCCCCCATGAAGCGCCCGAGCCGCTGCCAGGAGCGTCGTCTCCACTCCCCACCGCATGCGCCAGTGTGGTTTCCGCCACCGCAAGAGCCATGATGATCGCTTCCCGATGCCCGAGCTTGCGCCATGGCCGCTCCTCGACGCCTGCCCCGCCACTGTCACCACCTTTGTCACACTGTTGCTGCCCCTGCTGCCTGAGGGTTCCATGCCGACGCAGCACGCACCCTCTCTCCATGCCCATTGCCTTGTTTGGCCGTTTGGGAAGATGTTGTTCAGATTTGCTAAAATTTCATTCAAATTTGCAGTGGATACCAGTTCGTTTCTGAATTTCGCCTAATGTGGTGGGCTCCGAAAATTTTCCACAAAAGAATCCCACAGCCCTAGAGGGGATCGTGCTACGCCATTGCAAACATCAGGACAACCTCGATGGCAACTATCTATAATGTTGTGCATGTCACTGATATGGAGTACAAACGCACACTAGGACTCCCTTTAGAAGTTTTGGAACACATGATAGAAAAAATATAGATATAAAAAAAATATAGAAATTGATGTGCTATGCTTCTCTAATCCTATAAGATTAAAAAACACACAAAAATAGATGAGAATCTCTTTATTAGCATCATAGGAAAAACAAAATAATTATATACACCAGTTTGGATTTGAGCAGCTAGTCGTTGTATTCAAAGCAGCAAACTAGCCGATGCATGTTCTTATTAATATACGCACCAGGGTACAAACACTGCCTTGTCATTTGCATTCTAAAGCCACCCACAACTAGCTTATCTCCAAATCTTCTCAATCACAAAGCATCGCAAGAAAACCTTCTTGACATTTGCATTTTGAACAAACACACAGCTGGCACCTCTACAAATTTGTTCGGGAAGCATGCATTACATAATTGGTCATCCCCTACGGCACTTTCATTGCAGGATTTTATTAAACCAGCGGTGATGCTTGTCACCGCCGATTCTTAATACAAGCCGGCGCCGGATGGGATTATCATCGCCGGTTGATGTAACTAACCAGCGGTAATGATGGGATCCCCATCACCGCCGGCTCACCGTATGAACCGGAGGTGAAAACGGTTTTCACTGCACTACCGAAACAAGATCTTTGCCGTGTGTCCAAGGCACACGGCGAAACCCAAAAACACTCGGCAAAGGTTTTGTCGAATGTTACACTCGGCAAACAGCACGTGGCGTATACAGTGATAGCAAAAGTTTATTTGCCGAGTGTTTTTTTATCGGGCACTCGGCAAAGACGTTGCCGAGTGCTTAAACCAACGCTCGGCAAAAAAAAGTAACGTGACGGCGACGGGAGCGGTCACGGCGTGTTTGCCGAGTGTCTAACGGCATCGGCACTTCGGGAAACATGACCTTGTTTGCCGAGTGCCCCAGCTATGACACTCGACAAATAATCCATGTTTGCCGAGTGTCACATCCCATACACTCGGCAAAGAATGGCCATTCTAGACCCAGCTTTTGGTCTCTTTGCCGAGTGTCCAGGCATCGACACTCGGCAAAGAAGTCATTTTAGCCCCAAAATGCACAGATTTTTGCCACGTGTTCGATTTGTCAAGTGTATTTTTCATGGCACTCGACAAATAGTCTTTTTGCCGAGTGTAACACTCGGCAAAGCTGCCACATATAACCAGTTTATTTGGTTCGATCACAGCCACGTACCACATTCAAATAAACATCACATCCATCACAGATAGTTTACAATAGGCATCACAGATCAGTTCATATAGATATATTGACCACATCACAGATGCAAATAAACTTCACAATCACAAATACAAATAAACTTCAAAATCACAAGTACATAGTTCACGGTCGCTCTCCAGGCTCATCAAGAATGCAAATAAACTATGACCACGATGACCACTGTGACCATTGTCGGTCATAAGGCTCATTCGACGCCGCAGATTGATTTTGCACAAAGGAGAAGAGATAAATCATTAACAGTGATTGAGAACGAAAGATTCAAGTATTAGAAATAAACTAGCAACTAGAAAAAGTGATTAATTCTGCGGAAACTAAAAGTAGCTAAGTTACAGTGATTGAGAACGAAATAGTGATTACAAGGTTAACTACAAACTAGAAATAAACTAGAAATTAGAAACTATAAACATACACATATCACAAAGGAGAAAAGATTGATTCTGTACAAATTAGAAACAGTGATTATAAGGTTGTAAAGTGACTCACGGTGCCTGAAACAGTATTTGGAGCAGGTTGAGGAGGAGGGACTGGCAACGGTGGCGGAGGTTGACCGATTGCAACGTAAACACCTCTCATATATTCAAACATCTATAGCCGCTCTGCCTCCAACCTCTACCGGTCTGCCTCCATCTTCGCCTCTAGCTCCTCCCGGCGCCTCGTTTCTTGTTCTAGCTGAGCCTACAATATTTCATCGTAATGTTACAATGCAATGTAAAAGTATGTAAAAATCAATGAACGATGAATAAAACATAAATAACTTAGAGTGCGTTCATCTAGAACCGTGTAGAGTCAGGCCGTGTGAGTATCGCTGGGCTAGAACTCGTGCTCCGTGCTCGAATCTGGGAGAGAGTGGGAGTACTGGCCGTGTCGATTGTGTAGTCGATAATCCAGAACCGGCCATGCTTCTTGCCTCCTCCCGCCCTCATGACCACTTCTCCATCAAGGTCATGAGCGCTCGGATCGTACTCTGGGCCATGGACCGCCCTTGCCATCGATGTGTATCCATCGAGGCGGCTGTGGATGGACTCATTGTTGTATGTCGAGGGCGGGTCCTCTGGGTTGTAGGCGACGTCGGTTGTCGCCTTGCCTTTGTGGCCCAAAGCATATGCCATGAACTGGGAGCAAGGCTCGCCACCATGTGCAGCCGACTGCAAAAAAAATAATATGATTAGAAATTATGTAGAATTGAGCGTTAGAATAAAGAAATGAATTCGCGTACCCATCTAGCCACGTATTCTGAGAGGTTGAGGTTGCCTTGATGGTGTGGTGCACCCGACATCAGCAAACGCCGCTCCCGGTAAGCGTTGTGATTCTCCTCCCACGCGGGGTTGCACCACCTGTCCACCATCCGGGCCTAGCACTGCAGATCGTAGGCGCACCACCACGGAGGTACCTACGTCATCAAGTATATGACATATAAGAAGATGAAATTAAGCGTAATTAATCTCAGAAAAAATAAGTATTAATGTTCTATATTTACCTTCAGGTATTGTTCTGGGTCAGCCTCATGGTTCTTACCGCACTTTTTGGGACCCTCACTCTAAGAATTTCTTGGTGGCTTTGTCAGCCACATCATCAGCCTTGACCTCGTATCCCTCCTCGCATCTAAAGAAATACTGCATATAGACGCGATGTATCTAGTCATTATTGCAAGAATGTCCAATCAATGCGATGTATTGAGCAATGTAGTACGAGAAAGACTTACCCAAAGCTCGGCCTTGACACGCTGCGCCTTGTCGGCGAATACCCTGCCATCCCGATCAGGGGCATCGGGGACGGTGGCATAGTGGGCCCACGTGTAGGCCGGTTTAATAGTTTTGCCGAATTGCACCAGGCCAGAGAATTTTTCCTTGATAAAAAAACCAAGGATGTCGTTCACATGGCGTGCGTGATCACCCCCACCGACCTTCCTCCAACCCCTGCCCAAGTGTTTAAGATAAATTATTAGTTTCTATTGTAATTTTGAACATATCAAATGAAAAATTAGTGATAACATCTAAAGTTACTTACTTATCTCCATCGGGTCGAATCAGCGGGCGTCTCTCAAGAGGTATCGATCGCCTCGGGAGTGTCGAGGGACCTCACAACCACACACGCGATGAAGTAGAGGAAAAGGTACCCCCTGTCTCCTCCTCCACCCCTGCCTCCTCCTCCTCCTCCTCCTCCTCCTCAGAGGATGAGTGAGCGGAAGGTAACTCAGACAGCGACGAAGGTACACGCGACGGTGGCCTCATCTTGCCTCCACCCTTCCCTCGAATCCTGGGTCTACCCCAAGGTCTCTTCCCAGACCCCTCAGCTGCATACAGTTGCATTGGACCCTTTACGCGTCGCTGTCGCTTTTGAGTAAAGCGACGTTATCCACTTCATATCGCCCATCATTGTTCAATCACCTGCAATTAAAAAGAGTAAACCAATTAGCATAGATAATACAACAAAATAGATGCAAAATAAATAAAATATACTTAGAAAATCAGTTACAAGTATGCACTGAATGGCTCTGGAAAAAATAGTTAACAAACATTACTCCTATATGCTTATATTATGGTGCTCAAAACAACAACTACATTGGTTGGATCACAATACCTGATTTTAGAGCAGATCTGAACACATACAGGTAGGAATTTGGAGCAGCATGGATGAACTATGGTGAGCTATAAATGTGTTATTTGCCTCATCTGCTAATTGAATTTGATATATGGTTCTATAGTTCACTAAAACAAATATTTAAAAATCA